GGGATCCAATCATATAGGCAGGCTCCACACGTAACAGACTGTCCTCTCTCCAGACTCTTCTCCCCTTAAAGATTATGTCAAAATGGGGTGGGGGAGAGATGTCAAGTAGGGATATCTCTCTCTCTCTGCTCATGCTTTCGGATTACTCTTTTGGGAACATCTGAACAGAGCTTCTTTTATCCAGAGAAGGATATCACATTGTTCATTGGGTTCAGACTGTCTCAAGTTGCATGCCCTGTAAGGACAGCATCACTACACACTAAACTATTAGCCAGGGAATGAAATACTGAGAGTTGCTCTTTAGGCCCTCAGTATTATTATTTTTCCCCCTCTCACCATAATAGCTGGTAACATATCATTTGCAAGCAAGTGCAGAGGTGGTCAAAGGTTCTGTGAAACACACTCATCTCGAAGTTCAAATAATTATTTTCATTCAGTTACAGGCAAGGATGTGGGAGACTGTGAGTGCTCAGGATGAGGGCAGAGAAGCTCACAGGACTATTTCCAAGAGACAGAAGCAAAATGTGATAACAAAGCAACGAAAAGCATTCCTAGTCTACTTGCTGTTCTGTTATTAGTGGCCTTTTACTCTGATGCACTGTTGATGAATTCAGGCAAATGGGCAGAAATTGTCTTATAAATGTAGGGCTGGGCTGTTGGCATAGGAAACCCAGAGCTCAGGACCAGCAAGGCACTAGGAATAGTCAGCACCACCAAAGATCTTTATTGCTGAGGCAAGTTCTGGGAGGGAGAACCACTCCTTAAATAGGCCTTCCCTCCAGGTTTCCAGGTGAGCCTCCTGAGTGGCCCAGGAGCTGCTACACAGGCCAGGGCCTGAGCCTGCAAACACCAGGCCACTTCTGGCTCAGGTTGGCCCTGATCCTGCAGCTCCCAGGGTAGTGCGGGCCAGATCCTGACACTACCAGGAAACCGGGGATCTCCAAGGATAACATGCACAAGAATCCGACTTGAAACCATGGAGAGATTCCCCATAGCCAGAAGTGAAAATATGGGGCTACAGACCAAGGATATGGTTCAGTATCCAGCCAATTCCTATGTCTTTGTACTCTCAGAGTACACAGTAGCTCACAAATGGCACAGTGATTTCCTGCCCCTCTAAAAGCTTAAATGTGGGTTCTTCTGTGAAGCACATTGGTGAATTCCAACCCCAACATCTGTCAAAAAGATACGTCAGAGATGTCAAAAGACCAATCCTGTGCTTTAAAAAGCCTGGGAGGAGATTCCTGTTGGTTTTCTCAGGCAAACTACTCTGCTTTTAAAAAGAAAGGAAAAAGCTTATGCATCAGCTGCACAGCACACATACATTCGGTCTCTCTTTTTCCACCCACTGTTTAATTATGACATGCACTGCTGTCAGATCAAATAAAAAAGAGATTGGGGAAAGAAGTCTAGAATTGTTTTGCTCCAAAGACTCTTGTAGAAGGGCTTGTACAGTATTTGAGAAAACATTTTGGAATACCCAATATCCACCATATTGCAGAACCTCTAACTCCACCTTCGACTTTATCCTTCTTGATTTCTCAGCAATTTTGTCTTGGGAGAAATGGGGAAGAGGATGCCAGCAAACCTTCATCAGATTATGGGGGTGGGGAGAGAAAGCTGGCACATATGTCTCCCATATGCTAAATAAGTTTCCCAGTATCTAAACATGCCTTTTAACTTTTGCATTATTTTTCTCACATTAAGGGCCCAATGTCAAACTCCAGCTAAAATGAAGGTGGTGGCACTTTTTCCAACCCCTTCATGGATAGCTCCCTTGTTGTGGCAAAGGGGCTTGAGTACAGTGGACCCTTGACTTACAGAGTTAATCCGTATTGGAATGGTGGCTGCAGGTCGAAAAGTCTGTAGGTTGAGGGTCCATTTCCCATAGGAATGCATTGAAAACCATTTAATCCATTCCTGTCCGCTGTGCTTTCGCCCAGATTCCTTGCTTACCGGGCAGCGAAAATGGTGGCCGTATGGAGGATTTTCGCTTAAAGGTGAGTTTTAAGCCCATAGGAACGCATTGAATGGGTTTCAGTGCATTCCTATGGGCTTTTAAAAACCGCATAGTGACGAAATCGCTTTGCAGCAATTTTTCCTGCACGGATTATCGTCGCTATGCAGGGCACCACTGTATATTGTCCCCCTGGGTATTTAACTAAAATGCAGAATACATCATGCGAAATGCCGGATTGGAGGAATCCCAAGCCGGAATTAAGACTGCCGGAAGAAATACCAATAACCTCCGATATGCAGATGATACCACGCTGATAGCAGAAAGTGAGGAGGAATTAAGGAACCTTGTAATGAGGGTGAAAGAGGAGAGTGTAAAAAATGGTCTGAAGCTCAACATCAAAAAAAATAAGATCACGGCCACTGGTCCCATCACCTCCTGGGAAATAGATGGGGAGGATATGGAGGCAGTGACAGATTTTACTTTCTTGGGCTCCATGATCACTGCAGATGGAGACAGCAGCCACGAAATTAAAAGACGCCTGCTTCTTGGAAGGAAAGCAATGACAAAACTTGACAGCATCCTAAAAATCAGAGACATCACCTTGCCGACAAAGGTCCGCATAGTCAAAGCTATGGTTTTCCCTGTAGTGATGTATGGAAGTGAGAGCTGGACCATAAAGAAAGCTGACCGCCGAAGAATTGATGCTTTTGAATTGTGGTGCTGGAGGAGGTTCTTGAGAGTCCCCTGGACTGCAAGGAGAACAAACCTATCAATTCTAAAGGAAATCAAACCTGAGTGCTCACTGGAAGGACAGATTCTGAAGCTGAGGATCCAATACTTTGGCCATCTCATGAGAAGAGAAGACTCCCTGGAAAAGACCCTGATGTTAGGAAAGTGTAAAGGCAAGAGCAGAAGGGGACGACAGAGGAGATGGTTGGATAGAGTCATTAAAGCTACCAGAAAGAATCTGACACAACTCCGGGAGGCAGTGGAAGATAGGAGGGTCTGGCGTGCTCTGGTCCATGGGGTCACGACTAAATGACGACGAATTTAAGACCTGGATGCTAGAACACTTACTTCCTATTTAGAAAGCCCAAGGCTCAGCTCCACGGCATCTGTCCTTGTAAGAAACGGACATGAGATGAAAAACACCATTCTCAGCCATAGTGGACAGTACTGAGCTAGATGGACAAACATGTGCGATCAAGGAAAAGGCAACATCCCTTCAATATTCTTGAACAAACAGGAAGCTACCAAAGCCCAAACCAGTTCATTCCCACTGCTGACTGCAGTACATGTTGCGGTATATACAGTATATATACAGTATGGCTAGGCACAATGCCTGTGCAAGTGATGGATATCTCAGGGGAATCCGCACTCAAGAAGGGAAGCTCCTAACTCTGTCCCCATTTCCTGTCTGTGGAGGAAAGGTTCTTTCTTGGTCAGGAGGGGGCTCTCCATAGGCAAGCAAGAACAGAGGAGAATCAGGATCTTTGTTCACACGCCTGGGGTCGCAAAACTAGGCATGCCCCTTGTGGCGTTATTGACTCCGTGCAAGCAAATGACCCCTGAATAGGGTTTCTCTTTCACTTTCTCCAGGCAGAAGGCACATGAATCCAGGGTCAGGGGCAGCCATCCTGCTCCCCCTTCACAATATGGTGCTGTCCTCCCCCCACCGTAGGATTGGCCCAAGGCATCTTGCTGGTTCAGCTAAGCTAAGGACAAGATTGTGCCTCTAACTCCCCCTGTTCAGCTGGAAAAGGCAGCTGAACTTTAATTTCAGTGTCAGCAATGGAACAGCATTCTCTGCCGGTCCTCACAAAAGGTGGCAACAAGGTGGCAACAACCCAGCCTCCTGTGCCACCATCAGGATCTGCCACTTGCGGCAATCACCTCCTTCTGCCTAATGGTAGGGCCAGTCGGGATGCTGGATTGCCTGCCCCTTGGTCTTGTTTAACACCGTGGCTAAAACCACAGATGAATTGTTGAACCCATTGAGACTTATTCCTTCATAGACAATGCAGGAGACTGCAGAATGAACTTGGCTCGCCACTGGCGACTCGGGCCTGCCAGCTTCGCTAGCCCATCCAGAGGGTGGGGACCGTCTAAATAGCCTTTAGGGCACCCGGTGAAAAATATAGTTTCCCCCAACCTTCCGGCTTTAAATCGCGGGCCGGGCATTTGGAACCAACGGCTATGAGGCAAGAAGGTGCGGGCAGTTTACTAGGAAAGCTCTTTTTTCCTTCCTCTCCATGGCGAGAGGGGAGGGGTGGGGGAGGCGAAGCGCTCGAGAGGGGCGACGAGGGTGCAGCACGGCCTCCCGTTACTGAAAGGCGGGGGCCCCATGCAACAGCCGAGCCCCTAATACCGCCACCGTCTATGGGTCGAAGTGCTAAACATGATGTGTTCCTGTTTCCTGGCGAACGGTGTTTTCCATCCTCTTTCTCTGATACATACATACAAACAAGCACACGCACGCACCGAAGGCATCTGGTGACCGGCACAAGGGCTGCAGTCCTCCGAAATTTGTGGGCGATTCACCCCTGGCTTTGCAAGCCCTCAGACTTGCCTCGTGCATTCCACGGGTTTCTCCGTATTAAACCTCCTTGGCCGGGCGGGGAAAGTCCGACCCTATCCAGTGCTTACCCAGGCGCAAAAAGTTCTGCGATCCTGGGACGCAGGCAGAGGGTCGCAGCGGTGCAGCCTTGGGCGCCCAGGCTCAGCACCGAAGTCCACTGCCTGCGGTGGAATCTACTTTACACGGAAGAATTGCCGGCTTAAATCCGATGTTGCACACATGCACACGCAGTGTCAAAAGAACTGGTTTACCAGCCAAGAAAACAGGCTGAAATAAATCTGCTAGTCTAAAAAAGCGCCATGATATCTTGGGGGGGGGGGGTTGTTAGCATGTATTTTTGACGAAGCTGGCAATCGCCTCTCTCTGCACTTGGCTTGTTGGAAGCAACCCTCCCCCGCACACACTTTTCAGATTTAAGTCCACCCCCTTTCCTGTCTTCGCGCCACACGTTTCCCTGGGTAAGTAATTCCTTCCCGTAGCCGCGGTCTTCGTTGTTGTTGCTGCCGCCCCCTTCCTCCCCCACTTTATTTTTATTTACAAGGGCTCGGCGTGCCTCTCCCCGCTTTGGTGCTCTCCGGCCTGGGATCCAAAGGAGAGCAGCAGCAGCAGCCAGAGAAGCCCACGGGACTGCACGTGTAAGATTGCAAGGGGAGGCGAAGCACGGCGGTAAGGCTGATTGCAAGAGGAGCGGTGGCGGGAAAGGGAGACCCGCTGCGCAGAGGGCAGGAGAGGAGGCGCGCCGCTATGTCGGGCCAAGCGGAGCCGTGCTCCGGCTTCCACGAGACCCCTGCCCGGGAAGCCCTGCCTGCCTGAGGGAAGCCGGGAGCCCGGAGGCGCCCACTTTGCCCGCTTGCGAGGCTGCTCCCGCTGCCTCCTTACTCTTCCCCACCCCACCCTTTTCCTTCCTCCGAAGGAGACTCTTGAGGGGACGGAGCCCTTTTCCTGCTTCCCGCTTTGTTATTTGCTTCGTGAAGTCAAAAGGGCGCCAAATGACCTAAGCGGCTCCGGTCCGCCATGCGCCCCGACGACATCAATCCTCGGACTGGACTGGTGGTGGCTTTGGTCAGCGTGTTCCTGGTCTTCGGCTTTATGTTCACGGTGTCGGGGATCAAAGGGGAGACTCTGGGGGACATCCCTCTCCTGGCCATCGGGCCGGCCATCTGCTTGCCCGGCATCGCCGCCATCGCCTTGACGAGGAAAACCGACGGCTGCACCAAGTGGCCCGACCACCGCTGCTGCCCGCCTTGCGCCTGCTGCTGCCGGAAGAAGCCCAAGGACAAAGATGTCCTGGAGCTGCTGAGGACGCCGTCGGACCTGGAGTCCGGCCGGGGCAGCTGCGACGAGCTGGCCCAGAAAGCCTTCGGGGCCCCCAAGGCGCCGAAGGGCAGCGGCGCCCGAGGTGGCGGCGGCGGCGGGGACGACTCGCTCTCGACTTGCACCACCGTCACCACCTCCGCCACCGGGGAGTTCAAGAGCTTGGCGCCCAAAGTGGACCAGGAGGAGATGCTGAGGTACTTGGAGAACTGCTACCCGGAGATGCCTGGGAATGTATTTGTGGCCGAGGCCACCCCATACGACAACAGTGCCTTAGAGAAAGGGCGGGAATCGCCCTGCTTGGAAGGGGTGGTGGCCGCCACATGCCCGCCGGAGGCAGAGGCGGCCGCGCAAGAGGACACGGAGGACAACGTGTTCGTCGCCCCTAGCGACAGCATCATCGTCTGCTCCTACCGGGAGAACAGCCCTTACGACAGGTACTGTTGTTATATAAACCCCAGCGAAGAAATCTGCTCGGATCACGAGGCGATCGTTTGAACTGACCCTCGGATGGGAGTCAGGATGGAAGCACCACTTTCTTTATTCCAGTTGGGTCGGTTCCTCCAGATCCCTTTCTTTAAAAAACAAAAACAAACCACGCCAAGAACAACACAAAATTGACTATGTATTTCGAGCAATCCTCGTAATAAACACTTCTGGCTCTTTTTAAGTAATAATAATAATAATAATAACTGGCTGATCATGCACTGCATGGGACAATATTCTTAGCTGTTAACTTTAAGAACATGGTATGTGACTGATAACTTAAACCTTCCGTGCCTGAAATACTTGATTTTACTTTGACTTTTTGGGGGTTCCTGTTAAAAGGTAAATAATCAGCATGCCTTTTTTTAAAAAAATGAGGATTTGTATTGTAAGGAGGGAATGTATCCTTATTTGTTTTGTTATAGTACAGGTTTTGTTTGAAGGGTAAAAATTCCAGCCCACTGCTAAAGGTGGGGCAGGAATTGAATGTGTGAAGTTTTGGAAACAAAGGCTCTTCCCCTCTCTGAACTTACCCAAGCTCTGAGAGGAGCTGAGAGGCAGTTCTCTTTTAAGATTCTTAAGGGTGTGTGTGTGTGTGTGTGTGTTTCTGAGAGGAGCTGGGAGGCAGTTCTCTTTTAAGATGCTTAAGGGTGTGTGTGTGTGTGTGGGGGGTGTTCTTCAGTTTCATCATCTTAAGGATCAGGCAGGCAAGTTCAGGCTGCCCAGGGTGGCTTGCTTCTAATAAGGTCATGTGTGCAGGAGAGTGAAAAACAGTTCTAAGGATGGAGGAGAGTGGCAGAGAAAAAGTTAAAGGAGCAGCAAAATTGACGCTGTCAGCTGAGTTATTAGGAGAGCAGATATTCCCTTTTTAAATCTTTCATTTTTAATATTCCCTTTTAGCTTTTTAGTTTTATTTTTAAAAATTAAAACATTAACGTTGTATTTGCAGCCCTGTAGCATGTGCGGTGTAGTTTACCATATGTTACATCATCATTCTGGCATGCTGAAAAATAAATGGTAGCAGTTTTCCAGTGAAATTAATCTGAAGAGCATCGATGAAATAGATTTGAAGGTCACTGTAACTTATCCGCTGCCAGATATCATTTCCGGTTTTTGAAAGCATGGCTCATTTTTGTTATTTTTTAAGAAATTAGAGCATCCCCCCCATAAATTAGGAAAGATTATTTCTCTCCGTTTGACAGCAATAGCCTACAGACAAAACCAACTGAAAAAATATTTCAAAGCTTGTAGTCATATACCACCTATATTTAATAACATTTTTAAAGAGCAACATTAGAGTCCAAGTATTGTGTCATTAATTTTTTGATTTCAGCATTCACTGTGACAACTTTGAATGTATACCAAGGATTTACCTTTTAAGGTTTTCCATAACTATACCTTCCATAGCCAGATAATCCAAGTAGCACCCATGTCATCACTCTGTTCTGAACATTACTTCTTGAGTGCATAATTTAATATAGTACTTGGTAAGGGAAAGGGAAAGGTTCCCCTTGACATTCAGTCCAGTCATGTCCAACTCTAGGGTGAGGTGCTCATCCCCGTTTCCAAGCCATAGAGCCAGCGTTGGTCTGAAGACAGTTTCCGTGGTCACGTGGCCAGTGCGACTAGACATGGGGCCGTTACTTTCCCACAGAGGTGGTACCTGTTTATCTACTTGCATTTTACATGCTTTCGAACTGCTAGATTGACAGGAGCTGGGACAAGCAATGGGAGCTCACTCCGTTGCATGGATTAGATCTTACGATGGCTGGTCTTCTGACCTTGCAGCACAGAGACTTAATACTTGGATGTACAGATAAACCAGTCAGTCAGGACTTGCCTTTTCCCCCGCTCCATCTCTGTCTTTCCTGCAATTGAAGACCGACTTCTCCATGTGGAAAAGTACATTTGATTGATGTACTGTCTGGCAGCCAGAAATCTGATTAGTATTTAGTTTTGCCCTCTTCCTACGTGCTTTCACCATGCTGTTTTCCTTTTCATTATTAAATTACCACAAATATGTTTATTCAGTCAAATTTACATTCACCCTCTCCCACCTTTTTAAAAAGCACTATCATGTTCCCCCAAAAATAAGACAGGGTCTTAATTTTTGCTGCAAAAATGATTTAGGGCTCATTTTCAGGGGATGTTTCATTTTTTTTTTTCATGTACAACAATTTACATCTATTCAAATACATTCATATCATCTGGTTGCTGCACAATGGTGGACGGTGGGGTTTCGCCTAACAGGCTTATTTTGGGGGTAGGGCTTATATTACGAGCATCCTGAAAAATCATACTAGGGTTTATTTTCAAGTTAGGTCTTATTTTCGGGGAAACAGGGCATTTGTTAACATTGAAAACTAATTGGATCATAAGCTTTTAGCCAATCAGTACTGTGCAAGTTGTATGTTTACAACATCCAAGCTCTGCTCAGGGGAAGAAACTGAACACACATCTATCACCGTGTTGCATCAAAGGGAACTACCAGAGTTACAGCCAAATTTCAGCAGCAATACTAATTTAGCATTGGTACAAATTTAGTGACAATCAAATTTCAGCAGCAGTACAGACAAGAGCTTCATGCTCTCTGCTGCACTGGGACGAGTGCTCAATGTGAACATGGCAGTTTGCCTGCTAGCTACTCAAAGGTATCCAGACAAGAATTTGTGGAATTCTTTGCAACAAAATGTGGTGACAGCAAAGAACATAGATTGCTTTCCAAATGGAGTAGATAAATCAAGGTATATTAATGGTATTAATAGCAGAATCTGTGTGTTATATTGTGAAAACAAGGGACATCCATATTGTCCATCATTCTCTTCTTGGAAGATTCCACAATAGCCAGCCTGGCTGGTGCTGTAAACACAACCCTGGGATAACTAGTGTCTGCTCCTGTATATGCGTTTTTAGGTTCTTTCGAAGGAAATGTGGCTGCCTATAAAGAAATACAGCACCTGGGGTCTCAAACCACTTGTCATCATGAGTGGATAAATCTTTCTTTTCACTGGGATTGAACTGAGTCTATTTAAGAAATGTCTGTGTTTCTGAAGATTGTAGGTTTTTCGCAAAACAATCTTTAACATCACTTCCCTGCCCCTTGAAATAATCTATGTCAAAAATAACGAGGAAGCACAGCCCTAGAAAAGCAGAGATAAAACCTCACCAAAGTGAAACTGTTTGAGGCCTCATTAATTTTGTTGGGTGTGTTGACATTTTCCTTAAATCTCTACAATGAAATCTCTATAAAATTCAAAAGGGCTTCATAGTTACTCCTTGTTATAAGCATTATGGGAATTGTAGTCAGAACCATTACTTTCCCCATCATTGGGTTTAGTTTTGGCTGGGTCAGGCATCCAATTCCCACCCCACCACCCAATATACAATGAAGAAATCGTCCCCTTGGTTTTGGACATAATGTAGGCCATCTATCAGTCCGTTGATCATTCATAGTTGTAAAGGAAGAAATGATGCAGAGTTACTTTATGAATTCCTTAGAGAATACAAGAAATGACTCAATAAATCCCATGTATCTGATGTTTCTGTGTCATGTACGTGCAATATACTGTATAAATGTATTATTCTATTTGATAATTTATATGCATTATACATTTAATCTATGCAGCTCGAAGCTTTCAAAGGGTTAAATGTGAAGAAGAATATATTCAATAAATTCAGAGCTATTTGTATTTCTCTGATCTTCTGTAAGCCCGTCCCAGCTTGCTTCCCATAGCTGATTGCACTGCTCCTTAAAGTGTCTCAGTTTTTAGAAATCTTACTATTCTCGTAGTAATCACACACAATATATTGTAGATGAATTCATTAAATTGCTTACTAGCCAGCCCAGCTGAAGGCATACGTGAGATAATCCTGCAGAAGTTGACTTGAAAGAGGTAGACTGGGCATTCAAGCCTTCCACATGTGACACCGTTTAGTGCAGACAGAGTGTGTGCATCCTCAAGCTTTTTCAGAGCTCTCCCATTTGGGCAAACATTGTTGCTGACAGTTATTTCAAAGTAGATTATAAAAGGGAGAAACAATGCTTTTAATTGTGGATGTGATCTTTTCAACAAGCTAATCATAAATAGGTTTGCCAGTTGCAGACGAGAGCGAATGTGTTTTGACAGTTGCTCACGTACAGGGGACAGATATATACACCCAGGAAGATCCAGTAAGCAGAGTCTTGCATAACTACCAAAGCATAGAACTGGAAAGGACTTTACCATCCTGTAGGATAACATTTGCCCTAAGGGGAGTGGAATCTCAATCAACCCAGTGTCCTTTAGTAAAAGTTAAACAGATGTCAAGAATGGTGGTTGTGCAAGACAAGCAAACAGGAGGGAGCTTGGCCAGTGATTCTTACTAAGATGTAGATTTTTTTTTCAGATGCCTGCCTGCTGTGTGGTATCTGTAAAGCAGTTTCTAGGCAGGAGAAATGGCATATATGGGAAAGAAATAGAGAAATGATATGTGGGAAAGAATTAAAAGGCCTTTCCAAGCCAGCACCATGGCCATGATCATAAACACCTCTGTTTTGGAAACATGGATTGTAACATGAGTATTCTGGTCATGGACCTCATTATCTCACCCAGTTGTGTGCTGAGCTTTGCCACTATATAACTCCCCCCCCCTTTTATGTAGTAGGACGGATGGAATGGAGTAACCTGGAACTGCTCTCTATGCAGAATTCCATTCAGAACGTGATAAAATATGAGTTTGGATCTTTTAATTTGAAAACACAGTATCACTTGAAACACAGTTTAACAGTGAAAATGTCCCTGTTGAGGCTTTGAAGAATGTTAACTTAAAAGCAAGTATCATCTCTTTTTGCTATGGAAATCAATGTGAAAATGTTTCTCTGTCCCACACAGATTCCTATATTCACAGATGTGCAAACTGATTTTTTGCTTGAGTTTGCATTTTTACTACTGTGAGCCACTTATCTGGTTATTTTATTTTAACATTGGCAATATCTGGTTTTTTTCCACATGATTTCAATTTGAGATGTTTAATCATTAATCCTTATTTTAATGCTGCACTCTTGGTAAACACCACTTTTTTTACATATTGCATTTCATTCTTATTTTATTTATAACAGTTGTGTGCTATCCCATAGCATAAAGTTCTTCAGGTGTCACACTGACCAAAATCCCTGTGAGTAAATTATGCCGGTTTAAGAGAAATGACATAATCTGCAGCAGCAAATTGCACCCAATTAAAGAGTTTCTTTAATTCCTCATTGCTTGAACATAATCCCATTGCATGCCAGTTGGATAGCTTCATGCACAATCCGGAATTGGGGACTCTTTAATTTGCAACAGATTTGTATGAATTAGATTGCTGTACCTGTTTCTATTCCATGTGATGTGCTAAAGCAGCCTAGCTTGTTCACAGTGAAATTACATTTCTGCAATGAGGAACTGAAGTGGGAACTTCTCAGTGGCAATCTGTCGCTGCTGGTTATTTCATTTCCCTTATGCTGATGTAACTTATATTTGGCTATTCAATTTAATTAAAATGGGTGTATAAAAGAGCACATTCATTAACTAAACCCAAGTGTTTTCTAGAACATGTGTTGAGGC